CATGTGCTATTATATAATGCTGCTGGTACACAAACTTCAATCAATATAAGCAAGAGTGATATCAATAGTACTCATGCCAGATCTTTTAATAGCCAGTAGTAATAAATAGATGTCAGGTTCCCATGACAAAAAATTAATTGAAATAGTTTCGCCATTTTAAATCTATCAGTGTATCTTAAGTCTTCCCTTTTTTTGTTCTTTTAAGCTTTTGAGAAACATATAGGTTTTGTTCAGCTAAAGTTTTTGTTGGGTAGAGGCGAGCGAACGTTTTTTTCTTATGCGCATGCGTATTAATTATGATGGCACAGCTGTCTCTTCTACCGACACATCTAGCATCTGTCATTCAAGCTTCAAGTGTATGGAGATGGTGGGTATGTTATTTGCTGTGTGATGCTCAATATGATTTCCTGTGTGATCCTTTTATTCATTATTCGTGTAAATAAAGTGTGTTGTCCTAAATTGATGGCTTCTTTACTCTAAATATTGGCCTCTGAACAACAGTTTTTAATATGGATACCTGCTTAACACTTGTTTTTACATTCCACCTGTTTTATGATGCTGCCATGAATTGCTCTAGTTTTTTTAAAGGTGTTCAGTTTCAGAAGAATCTGTACCAGGAAATAAAGATGATAATTTCAAATGCAAAGTTTTTTTTAAAATTTGCCATCTGCTATATCATTATATTATATGTAAAATAAGTAAACAAAATATGTAAATCAAGATTATAACTTAAACTAGCAATATCCTTTTAAATATTCATTTTAATTTGAGTATTTCATATCTCTATTCTAAAAATAGTAATTTCTTAAAACTTTTTCCAGACTGTGTCATTTCTAAATTAATTCCATATCACATGACTTTTTACATAATGTTGGTGATGGAAATGGAACTAAAGCTGAAACAGCCAACAATGATTTTAGAATTATATTAATTATTTAATCAGATGGTATTGAAAGCGAAACTGACTCTGAATTAAGATTTCATTCTGAACACATTGCTCTTAGCTCTTGCACCTTGGTCAAGCTAGACTACTGCTTGCTGCTCTCTTCTTAATGCAACAAATCAAAAATGTAAATATTATGTTCTGGAATAAGCACAACTAGTGTGCCAAGTTATCTGTGGCCACAGATGTATAACTAAAATAAAAGAAATATTTTTAAGTCGGCTTTGGCTGCTTCTTATTACATCTGTTATATCTGAATTTATGCTTCAATATTTTATGTGGGCCATATTTCATAGATCATCTCACACACACACTCTATATATATACACACACTCACTCACTATATATATTATATTGATGAATTGCAAAAGATATATGTATGAGTATGTATACAAACCTATTAAAAGTGAAAAATTTTTATTCAAATTTTAAAAAAATGTATTAAAAGTAAACAATACTTAAAAAAATTATGCAAATCAAAAACTATTAAAAATAAACATTTTATTCAAATCAAAGGCAACAAATTAGGCCCTAGATCTACTAAAATTTTCTGTTAAATCTAGAGATAGTTAGAGAAATAAAATGCAAAAAGCAAACTGCCAACCTTTCAGTAAAAGATTTGCCATCTGCTATATTTGTAAAGGTTGGTAGGTGTGTTTGTCTAAAAGGAAAGGGTAAAAAATAGTTTCTAAAATGTTTTCAAGCTGTAAATAGTAGAAAATAAATTTAACCAAATAAATTTCAAGAAGAAACTGAAATTCCATGTAAATACATGAAGGAGGTTGGGTTAATTGATTAAGCAACTTGAGGGCTATCTGCCTATGGAGATGTCATTGTGAAAGATTTTTTAAAAGAAACTAACCATATTATAACTAGGTTAAATTGCAAAAGCTACCAAGCAGCCAGCCTGGTCACCAGGGTTTGCGTCCAGATTGATCTACCATTGTTCAATGACTCACCTAGCCTCTGGTGGACAAAATACTCAATAACTTGGAATAAGAAAGAATGAATATTTAGTTAGAGTATTTGTATTGGTCTAACAAGAAGAATTTGGAGACTTCCCACTAAAAATAGTTAACTTATTACGTAGTTAGAGAAAATAAACATGTGTTCTGTTTTATCAGAGTTTCTTTTCCCTTATGCATTTAGTTTTGCTTTTTCCAGTGTAAGCTTTAACCTGCTATTACACGTAAATTATACATATATGATGTTTCCTGTATTCATTTGAAGTTTTCAAACTTTATATAACAATTTTTATTGCAATCTTGGTTACTGATCTTTTTCTAAAAGCTTGTCTCCATGAGGAGACAGATCTCTGAATAAGGATCTGTGGGTGCTTGCAGCACCTGCACAAGTCTGTCTACAAAGGGAAACAAAAATCACATGTCTGAAAATTAATTTTGGTACTCTTAGTGTTTAACTTACTGAATAACATATGACACAAATCATTTGGAGTTTTTGTTATTATATTAACAAACTTAACTTATGATAAGATATTTCTTTTGGATTATAATTCTGGTTGATTTCTTTACAAACAGAATATTTTTCACCTTGACACAAGAGATTTGCTGTTGTAAGCTACAGAGCAATTTATTTTTTTTACCTCCTTTATTAGCAATAACTAAATTTGCTAGAATATCTCCCCCCCCACACACACACCCATTAAAGAAATTACTATATTCTTATGTTCTGAGAAATCTGACAAACAAGAAAAACCTAATTCATAGTCTGTTTGCATTTGTTAATATTTCTAAATTTCTCGATTGCTTGGTACATTTGCCAAAGTGCTTAAATTTTCTGTGAACTAGTAGATTGTGAGTTCAAATCCAGCTGAGCCATTTTCTGATCTTTTGCACTGAAAATAAATATTTTATTGTTTCTCTAATTTTGTAATTAAAAGAGTTCTGGTAATATAAAAATTATTAAAATTTTCTTAATACAGGTATAATTTTGTATTAATTATGTAAATATAATTAAATTTTTATATTACTTATAAAGTGATAAAATTTGTTTTTCCTCTTTCTTGTATTTAAAATGATGCTTTATTATGAATCATAATCAGCAATATATGTTACATTTTATGCTGTACGTGGAGTAAACTATTTTCTTTTATGTAATTATTATTATAAGTGTGTGTGTGTACATTACACGTCACAATTAATTTTCAAATTATATTTCATAATTTGCTTTTTTCTCTTCTTTAATTTTTTTAAATTTACTGACTTATAATTTTATATGAATTTTTCATATTTTTACCTTCTTATTGGCATGTTTAATCATTTTTACTTTTTGTCTGCTATTAAGCCTTCGATTTATTATTATTACAGTACAACTCCAATTATCCGAATCAATTGGGACCGGACACCATTCGGATAATCAAAAATTTGGATAATTGGATTTTTCTGAAGAAAGGGTCTATGCAAACTTTAATTAATTACCGTATGTTGAAAATAGGAGAAAAAAATATTTTTAAAGAAAAAGAGGTTTTAATTAACTAAAATGAAAAGGCAGAACTTTTACATACATGTTATATAGCGTATTGTACAGTACTTACAAGTGCTGAAAGTCATTGCTTGCTGAATATCTCGGTTAAATTAAGCTTAAAATTTCTTAGTTGGCTGTTACTTGCTTTAAAGGATGAACAATGAAGTTTCTGACCTAAGATCTTATCTTTTTCACAAAGACTCGGACCTGAAATTGGGTTTCCCATAGAACTTTGCTGCAAAAACCATATACTAGAAGATACTGCTTGAAAGCAGTGTTAGAAGATACAGTATCTTCTAAATTTTTGTTTGTTGCTGCTTTCATTGATTTTCTTGGAGAACTTCCATCTCCATTTTCAAGCAGTGACAGAAAGTTTAAAAGTGTAGGTTTGCTCCTATTAATGTCTGAAATCGTTGGTTGTCCAACACTACATTTCCGTCTTAATTTTTTCGTAAATTTTGAAAGCGATTCGGATAATCAGCGATTTGGATAACTGGAGTTGTACTGTATTATTATTATAACATATTTAAAAAGTTATGCCCTGAAGAATAAAGGAATTGAAAATTTCGTAAATTATTATGTCCGCTGTGAGATCAATGGAGGTCTTCTATTGGAAACAAATCATATCATCTACTTTGACTACTGTGATTGCCTTAGTAATATAGAGAAGCTTAGATACAAAATCTCCCTGTGTAGACCAAATGTTGTGAAATAACATAGTTGCAGAGAGACTTGTTCAGAAATATGTCTCCTTGTGTAGATGGAGCTTCAGGGTTTCGTGAGGTGTATTTTATGTCCAATCCGGCTCATGTTAAAATTTGTTTTTGTATCATTTCTCAACTCATACGTGACATTTTCTTTGGGAAGATATAGTTTAGCCATGTAGTGAGCCAATTTGCCGAGATTCAAACTTGGATCAGACTATTAGAGTTCAGCAACTTTACTTTCGGCTGCTAGTGGGCTCAGATCCATAAAGGAGACAATACAAATAAACATTTCTCAGTTTCGGATCATTTCAAATATTTCAGTAAAATCAGTGATATAACCAAATGTAGGATACAAAAGGAAACTTAAAAAATGGAAGTGTAAATTTTCTCGTTACATTTTTTATATAACTAAATGAAAGGTTGTAAGACTTCAATTTAAAGCACAAATATTAGGTAACTTTGGAGTATCGGTAGATGGATATGTATTAGCTTAGAATTACAGCATAAATTATATGATGATAATTGATATCTTTATTCTTATTCAGGATTTGTTGTAATAGTGTTTTAGACTTGAATGTAAATTTATTCATATTTAAAAATTATTTACTTTATTTGTACAAAGTAATTATTTTCTTTTTTGGCAGTTTTTAAAATGCTGTATTTTTTTTTATAAATTATAGTAAATAAGAATTGTTTCAAATGTGAATAATACTTCTTTGTGTAGATTATGGATTTATAAAATGGGAATTAAATCATTTCAAATACCTTTCTCTTGATTATTTGTCAAAACTCATGAGTTCTTTCTTTTAAGTGTAATTTAAAACCAGATGGCTCACTATCCATTAAACTGCAAATATTTCTTTTAGGGAAAAGAAGATTTTGGATATCTTTTTGAATTTGCTTTTCCAGGAAAATTGAGTGAGGAACCTCTCGAAATGATTCCTGTTAGCGCTCTTGAAATACTGACGGCTGAAAGAATGAATGTACTATGTTTAAATTACAGGTTAAATAAATTCCAATAAAATTTTTAAAAAAGTATAATTAAGTGAAATTTTTAGGTGCTTGTGTATTTTCCCATCAGTTATGAAAGTTGCCAATAATTCCAGACAACATGTGTCAATTATTTAAGCTGATATTTGAAGGAACAGATCGCTCATCATTTAGTTAAATAATTAAAAGGTATGCATTAGATATATAGTGTGTAATTTTGGAACTGATATTTCCTTTGTCATAATTTTTCACATAGCATCACCATTGTGTACCCATTTTAAAAAAACATATCATGCCATTAATTTAATGTAAACTTTTTTTTTCCTATGAGGATCTTATTATTTTGAAAATAATTTAGTTGCATGCTGTTTAATAGGTAAATACTAAATCTTAAATTAAAAAAAAAAAAAAAAAAAAAAAAAAAAAAATACAAGGGTAAAATAGTGAAATAGCTGTTAACTTATATCCTTGCTTTTGAAAACTAAAGAGGCTTTTTGAGGATTAATTGGAATTATATAAAGCCAGGATAATGATCTATAGTATGTTTGTATTGAATTCTTGCAATATATTTAAGTTTCTTATACAATAAATTATCAGTCTCTCTTTTTGTGCTGTGTTTAGCTTAAGTTTTATAATTTTTATTTTTAAATATTTTATGATCTCAGGAAGTAATTTAGAATCATAATCATTTATTAGTTAATAAACCGGATTCCCTTTAAATCTCTCCTTCCCCCATACACTGAGAATTAAATAATTAACATACAGTTTGTATGTTATTCTTGAATCTGAACTTATTGAAATTGAAAAAAAAAATTACAAAATTTTGTATAATTTATTCATTCATAATGCTGCTACAACTTTCAATGATTAGTTGTAAGAATCGAGATATCTTGGAAATGGAGAAAAAATATTATTCAGCAGTTTGTGTCTTAGGCCTGTGTCATAACTAACTTTTTAGTGCAAACACTGTTTTAATAATTTTATCTTTCTAAAATGATTAGTCCATTTCTGTGCACAATGTAATACAAACTCTTTATTCCTAGCTTTGAGTGCTGTCATAATTAGTTTTTCAATTTTAAATTCTAATTCATAAGCTGTTAGTCAAAAATATACATCCAGATGAAAACGTAAGGATAGCTTAATTTATGCATAAAACAATTGTGACAAATAACTAAGCAATTGAAAATAACATCAATATATTAAATATATATGTGCTTTATTTGTGAATGATTCTTTAACAGCTATTTTCGTGTTCTTTTCTCTCTCCCCCTCCATCCAATACAATATTTCAGTCCATGTGGAAAATTTTTGTTTATGGGTTTAGAAAATGGATGTCTTAATGTTTGTCGACTGGAGAATTCACATATTCCATCCTCTGGATATGACTTTGCTAAATATCAAGTTCATGATGCTGATTATGGTTCCATCAAACATTTAAAAGTATCTAATGATGGCAGGTAATAAAATATGTTACTTTGTTGATATTTTTAATTCAATTTTTAATTAATGTGGACTTGATTTAGAAATTAAAAGTAATCTTTAAAAGCTTTTGAAATATCAGAAATATAGTTTTAACTTTCCTAAAGTAAACTATATACTTTTGAAGGTCGTTTAATTACATGCACAAAGTAATTTTGCATGTTAAAAGGATTTGTGTTGCAGATGCAATTAAGAACTGCTATATATTAAGACTTTTTAGTATCCTCAGACAGTTTGTAATAACCAGAAAATAAAAGGTTAAGAAATGAGTTTCTTAATGGATATTTTCCAGCTTGGCTCCACACCAACATTTACAATATATGAAAAATCAGGACAATAACAGCAATTGATAAAATGATTTTCTGCTGCGAAGTAAATTAAGAAATCAGTGTTATTTCAGTTTTTGATTAAAAAGGAGATTTCTTTATTATTAGCTGTAACTTTCTGTCAGCATTGCTTTACTTTTGCATATGCATTCTTGAAAAAAAATGTGATTAACTCACTAACAGAATACAGAACGTTAATGATAAATTCTGTAATGAGCTACTTCAAAGATTGGAACAATTTATTATTATCATTTTAATATTTAACACCCAAAATTTTTCCTTTGATATTCAAAGGAAATATAACATATATAGTTTTGATTAATAAAAGTGATATTTAGATTAATTTTCTCTATAGCAATTACTTTAGTTTATATTGATGTGATGGTAAACATTGTAAGATGAAGCATTTTGTAGTCTTCCCCCCCATGGTATGATTCAGCCCCCCAGTTTTAAATCTCAGAATGACTGGTATTTCATTGTAGAATCTCAAGAGCTTTATTATTTTAACTTTAGTCATTTACATCGCAAGAGCTTGCTAAGGAGTTAGATGTTAGTGCCATGTCCATTAGTCACACTGTGCATCTCATAAACTTGACATGCAAGTTCAATCGCTGGGTGCCAGCATAAGCTGACTCAAGCAAATAAGGACAGATGTGTTTGGGCCTGCACTGATCTGCTCGAATATCAACGCAAGGGCAAAATTCTGGCCTGGATCGTCACTTGTGATAAAAAGCGGATTTACATCACCAACACAGGCCAGAAAAGAGGTTGGTCTGCACCTGGTTAGCTCATTGCAAAGCGTAATTTGACTAACAAAAAGATCATGCTCTGTATCTGGTGGGATTATCCACAAAGAGTATCTGGAAAAAGGTAAAACCCTTGACAGTAAAGTGCACACCACGATGCTAGTCCGTGTTGATGCTTCTGTCAAGGAAAAATCTCAATGTAAGTTCCGGCAATTTATTTTGTCGTTCAAAAAGCAAAAAGGTTCCATCAAGATAATACAAGGCCACATGTGCCAGCATTCACCAACTAGACTCTACGAATTTAATTGGGATCTTTTTACACACCCACTATATAGCCCTGACACTGCTCCTTCGGACTTCTATTTTTTTTCACACCTGCAGTTACATCTTCCTGGTGCTATTTTCTGTTCTGCACAGGACGTCCAAAATGGTTGATCTATTTTTGGACCCGCAACCACCAAGTTTGTGGGCTGAAGGCTTTGAAAAACTATCAAAATGTTGGCAGAAACTGATAGATTTAGGTGATGATTGCTTCCCGCAATAATACTGCTTTTATGTGTTTTTTCTCCCCCTAACTTTACTAAGAAAGTTTTTTTAGCAGAAAACTTTTGCTACAGCAAGATACAAGGTAGTTTTCCTTGAAAAGTCTATCATCAAAGTATTCCTTTCCGTAAACAGATAGTCATATTAGGAATTTTCTAGCCATATTATGAATTTAATAGCCGTATTTTGAGCCATATTATGAATTTTATAGACTAAGTAATCTATAAAATTCATAATATGGCTCAAAGGGTTCTAAACTTCCATAGCCACTCTACATGGGAAGAAAAATTAATGCATGGTAAATAATTATAGCAATAATGATATGTTTTATTTAAATGTAATAAATTAATTATTTTAGCTCTGAGAGTTGTCTATTAAACATATTTATGATTATGTTTAGCATAATCATAAATATTTTTGACCAAGAACCTTAGAACTGAAAGAGGGTTTAGATTCATTCTACTAGCCTTGAGATTTGGCATGATTCTTTGTGCTGTTTTTATTCATATGGCCTGATTTCAGCTTGTTTTCTTATAGCTATTATTGCATTCTTTGTCTTTGTGTGTGTGTGAATATTTGAAAGCTTTATAATAGATAAAAAGTACTTTTTACTGTCAGCACCTTTATACTGGTGTCTTCATTTACATGGTCAAGTGGATATGAAATTTTTGCTTACAATAATTTATCTGTTTGTATATATTTTAAAAATTTGTATGCATTTCAATATTTTAGTTTTGTTAATGTAAAAAATGTTGATTTTTTTCTGATTTGAAATAGAATAAAAAAAAATTGAAAGTTAATTTTTAATTTCAAAAGTCATTAAAGTAAAAAGATTAATTACCTGGTTTTATCTATGCACATTATGTATAACTTTACATTCTATTATTGTGATTTTTCATTACTTTATTATTTTAGCATAATTGTTACAGTGGGGGAGGATGGAAACATTTTTGTGTTTAATTTCTGCCTGTTTAAATACAAAGAAGTTACTGACTATGGAGAAATGCCACTGTTTACATATGTATGCTATTTAAATTCTTAATATAATTCTTTGTGATCATCTTTGCTTTGATGACTTTGTCTGTATTTATTTCAGAATTGTCCATTGATATACTGTAAAAATTAGATTGTTAACATTGTAAGTAGCGTTTTTGTCCATTTAATTCTAGTAGCTCATTACAAAAAAAAAAAAAAAAAAAAAAAAAAAAAAAAAAAAAAAAAAAAAGAGAGAGAGAGAGAGAGAGGAAAAAGAAGAAAACTTAGCCATACAACTTATGAAGTAATCATTTAATTCTGCTCATACTACTATTGGGATCATGCTGATATTTTTAAAGCCAAACAATTTGTGAATAAAGCCTGAAAGCACTGGTACATTATCTATTGGATTGGCAACTAAGTAATTGCGGATTTCACTCATAGATGGCTTCAGTTGAATTTTTAGGGTTGCAGACGTAGTACAAATGTAAAACACATTTTGTTATTTGATAGTTGGCAATTCAGCTGTCAATCAGTAAAAAACGTTTTTTAATCGGTTGCATAGTTTTCGTTTGGCGTTCGTTGAAAAATGAAAAATCAAAAGGAACATTTTCGTCACATTTTGCTTTTTTATTTCCGCAAAGGAACAGACGCATCGCAAGCTCATAAAAAGTTATGTGCTGTTTATAGTGACGAAGCCTTAAAAGAACGGCAGTGTCAAAATTGGTTTGCCAAATTTAGTTCTGATGATTTTTCACTCAAAGATGAAAAACGCTCTGGTCGTCCAGTTGAAGACGATGACGACCTAATCAAAGCAATAATCGATTTGGATCGTCACAGTACAACACGTGAGATTGCAGAGAAGCTTCATGTATCACATACATGCATTGAAAATCACTTAAAACAACTTGGCTATGTTCAAAAACTCGAATACACGGGTTCCTCACGAAAATGAAAGGAAACGCATTTAACGCAACGCATTAACAGCTGCGATTTGCTAAAGAAACGTAATGAAAATGATCCATTTTTAAAACGACTGATAACTGGCGATGAAGAATGGGTTGTTTACAACAATATCAAGCGGGAAAGATCGTGGATCAAGCCAGGTGAACCAACTCAAACAACATCAAAAGCTGATATTCATCAAAAGAAGGTTTTGTTATCAGTTTGGTGGGATTGCAAAGGAATTGTCTACTTTGAACTCTTACCACCCAACCGAACGATCAATTCTGATGTCTGCATTGAACAACTAACGAAATTAAACAATGCAGTTGAAGAAAAGCGGCCCAAATTGACAAATCAAAAAGGTGTTGTATTCCATCATGACAATGCAAGGCCCCACACATCTTTGGTCACTCGGCAAAAATTATTGGAGCTTGGTTGGGATGTTATGCCACATCCACCATATAGTCCTGACCTTGCACCATCTGATTACTTTTTGTTTCGATCTTTACAAAACTCCTTGAATGGTAAAAATTTCAATAATGATGATGATGTCAAATCGTACCTGATTTAGGTTTTTGCTAATAAAAACCAGAAGTTTTATGAATGGGGGATTATGATGCTGCCTGAAAGATGGCAAAAGGTCATTGATCAAAATGGGCAATACATTACAGAATAAAGTTATTTAGTTCCGTGAAAAAATTGTCTTTGATTTTCTAAAAAAAATCCGCAATTACTTAGTTGCCAACCCAATAGAATATTATTTCTAATAATTGATTGATTTTGCTGCATGGCTTTTCATGATTTTACTGTGTGTAACACATCACAAGGAAAAGCTTCAAAAACTCTAATGGCAGCACTAGACTGAAAAGATCATCGCTTATGCAATCATATACCCACTAAAATAGTACTCAAGAGCCCTGCAATAAAAAGGAACTGATTGATATCATTAAAGCAAAAGGCATCAGGGCTGCTGAACATTATCCAAAAGAGAATTTTGTACACATTTATATGCATGGTTCATCAGATGAGATGATTAGTAATGGAAATTCTGGAGTGTTACCCCAGGTGATACTACTTATCAACACAAAATTGACACTGGAGCCATAAACTTGAATTTCACTTTTGAGCTTCTGCCAATAGCACTTGGCATGTACAGATCCCTTCCCATTTCTCAGCAAGTAAAAGGTATCATTTTCTTCTGTGACTCAAAGGCAGTCAATCCTACATACTATTACTACAGTCAATCCTTGATGGAAGCTCCCAGATCACCAACAGGATCCACTTTCGCCTAAACAAGCTTCAAAAGTTAAATAAGGTCTGCATTATTCAGTGGTTGCCAGTGCATGTCAACATCACAAGTAATAAGAATGCAGATAAACTGGAAAAGAGGCTCGAAATCTCAGCAATAATAATAATGTAAATGTCACCCTTTTGGATGCAACTGCCGTATTCAAATATAGATTGAAGAAACTTTCAATTCCAGTGAAGCACTAGCTCCATAGCAGCAGTGAAGGTCAACTTATAACTAAAACCATTGTCAGACTTAGAACTGACCATCACAGAGGATTGAAAATTAGCAAAGAGTGTAGGAAAACACACAAAAACTGTGATAACTGCATGGACACAGAACTGACAACTGCACACATTTTTTATTGTAGAGCCATCTTTGCTGAATTGCTAAGAATTGGAATCTTGTTTAAGAGACAGACTCTCTATGATGATAACATTTTGCAGATTTTCAAGGTTGTCATCTTTGTCCATGGCACTATTTGAATAGGCTTTATCATACACATGACACCAACAACAACTGTGTGTAACATAAATGTCATATAATTTCTCTTGAAAATTTTCCTTTCGATGGCACACCTTCCCTTAAACAGACAATATTTGTATGCTTTAGAATAATTAATTGATCATCCAACTATCCATCATTTTGAAGTGCGGCCCACCAGCAGCTGAGCGATAAAGTCGCTGAACACTGGTATTTTGGTCCGAGGTTCGAATCCCGCGAATGGGCTGGCTGCATTGCCGTTTTTGTGATTTTCCCTATATGTATACGAGCTAGTTTCCCTTCATGAATGCATCCCTCCCCTTAGGCAGAGAGCCCTAGTTTGCTTTGCCATAATTATATAAACCAAAATCATTTTGAAATACATGATTATAAACAAAAGAGGTATACAGTTTTAATAATTTACATTAAAAAAAAAGGATAACAGAAGATATTCTAGTGAAAGTTGAAAACCTGTGTGCAAGCAGATATAAAATTTTTCCCCCGGCATTCCATGCTGTGATATAAGTGCCATCATGTGCCAGGTAGCATCTGAAGTTCAAGACTTACCTCTTTGTTGATTCCTTAGACTGTTTTGGAAGATATTATAAACATGTTCAACTTGGTCTTCAGATACACGATTAGATTTTCATAATCATAAAATCAGGATGTTACCTTTTATGTAATCAATGCATACATTTAAATTTTATTATTCAATTCCCACCTCCACTCCCTCTTTTTTTTAGAGGGATCAAAATTTGTACTGAACCATGGTAACAGCTTCTGTTTTCCTGAATTAAGAGATGCAAAATGTTTTCTCTATTTTAGACATGGCCATTTTGCATTCTGATTCATATCAGGCTTAATTATCATGTAAATCACTGGCTGAAATGCTGTGAAAATATTCTATATATGCATTCCTTCCTTTTTTCATAACTGTCTTTCCTTTTTTAAATAAATTATTGAAACTATATTTTCCTTTTATAATAACCTTCTATATGCATCACTCTGCATCTCATATATATATGCATCACTCCGCATCTCATATGGTAAATTAACTCATTTTTTGCCAAAATGCAAAAGACCAAAGTTAAGGGCAATACTTTATAATGCATTAAAGCATTTTCATTTCTGTTTGTATTAATATCATATTTATTTGTAATTGCAATAACTTTGTATATATGTAATGATATTTTTAAATCAGTTGGTTAAATTAAATTCAGGGTAAGAAATGAATATGGTGTACTTCAAAGGTATTCTTTCAATGCTGTGCGCATAACTCTGTTTTCTTATTCAAACATAATTGTATGGTGTGGCAGTGATATTGATGTGCCTTTTGTTGTTGTTGTTGTTGTTGCTGCTTATGTACTTATTTACACAAATTTCTTATTACATTCTGTGAACAAATTTATAATTTTGTTGTTATTATTAGATGAGCATTGGTGCTAAATGTCTAGCTGAACAAATTAATATTTTTCTTAATATCAGCAAATATTTCAGTTATGTGTTCATTTGGCAGCATTTACTGCAAACCAGTTTTAATGTTGCTTCTACTTAACCAGAAACATTAACATCGAAGTTGAGCCAAAGTATGTTTTGCCAAGAAGCTAATGTCTGCTATTTTTTATGAGATTCTGGCCATGTCTAACCATATGCTTTTGCAGTGCCTTTCTTATTTTTTTGTCTACCATGGTCCATATGATTTGTTTTTAGGATTACAGTATTTTTAAATTGTTAAACTTGTATTCATCTTCAAACATGTCTTTTCACAACAGCAATATGGTAAAACTAGATATTATTCATAATCATATTCATTCAGATAATCATATTGCTTATTAATGTGTTGTCGATTCTCTACATAAATTGCATCCCTGTTCCTAAATTTTGTCAAAATCCTTCCTTTATTATAAATTATATTAACTTGTTGGCGCCCGCGAAATCGCCACTCATAAATCTGTCATGTTACATAAAGTCCTTAAGAACACTCCTGATGAGGAGATAGCGTCACCTCGTGATTTCAATTAATATCGCTGATTGGATGAGCATCATGACGTACACATATCTATAAAGAGGGCTTCTCCTAGAGGTACAGGAGGAACGCTTGTGAGATGGATGCCAAAATAAGCGTATCACTTTATAACTCCAAAATTTGTCTCATTCCTGTTACCCCGGCTGCACAACACAAATAATGTATGAGAAAATACATTTCATATATATTCTTGAAAATTCAAAATTGTTAATTGTTTTTATTATTTTATTAAAAAGCAACTTTGCGTGTATAAAATAGCATATGTACATATTTGCTTAAAATTTGCACAAATTCCAAAAATGAGATTTTTCCTTCCAACTGTGAAAGTGTTCTGAATGGTTATAAGTAGAATGTAGTAGGGAAATGGTATAACTTCAACTTTTCCCTGATAAAAAGTTTCTTAATAAATTTTAAGTTTTACTGTATAAAGAGCAGTATTAAGAATAAAAAAATTGTCTTATCAGTAATTAATATCTGTTTAATAAATCTACTTTTTTTAATTTCATTATATTTTTAACGATTTTAGTAATTATTTTCATTTAAAATAAGAATCAGTGAATTTTTCTCTTAAAAGGCTGAAGGTATTGGAGATATTGATGGGAATGAAATCCTTTCTTGTGAAGAAGAATTAGTAAAGAACTTAAATGGAAAATATAGTATTATGAAACAGCGAAATATATCTATAATGGAAGATCTAAAGAATGAATATTTACTCTTTAAAGAACAATATATGGCATATTGTAATGCATGTCAAGTATCAATTAAGCGAGTACATCATATTCCATTAGAATTGCAATTTGTAAGTGTTATTGTTTATAAATTAAATATTTCATATATAAACTTTCTTTTTTTAGTGATCTTAAAGTATATGCCTGTGAGAGTTTGTATAAGTAAAACATATTTTTTTTATTATTATTCATTGATAATTATATATTTATTTTTTAGCTCATTCCTCCTTTCCCTGTGACAGTTGAGAAGTTTGCTAAAGAAACCAGTTCATGTCTTAATGCTTTAGATTTGGAATGTGAGAAAAATATTGTGAAAGCCTCATTACTTGAAGAAAAATATTTCCAAATGTATGTATTACCTTTCTTTAAATTTGTTTTAAAAGAAAAGAAATTTTAAAGAATGCATTTTAATTTTTAATGATTTCTCTTTCTGATTGATTTTACTCATATTTTTCTGTTATTAATGTTAAAGGCTATATTTTCTCCTTATGTTTGAAAGAAAAATTGTTTGTTCTAATTAGGCCTTTCCTAAATAGTTATTATTATAAGTTCTTCCCCCCAGAGAAGCTAATTTAACATTTAAATGTATTGTTTAAATATTTAAACACCAGAAAAGAGACCTTTTGAATGTTACTAATTCTTTCTTGTAACTTCGTTTTCTTGTAACTCATGTCTTCTACGAATTGATGCTGTTTACAAATGAGGATTCACAAAATACTTCATTTAGGTTCAGAATTATAAAGATATGTTTCTCAATACTGCATTAGTCGTTCAAATTTTATCTCCCAAATTTATCTTTTGAAAATGTTAAGTAAAGATAAAATTAATGTGATCCATTACCTGCAAAAGTTATCCCTATCTAAAGCTAAGAATCTTATGTGAAATATGATTAGTTGACAAGGAAAATCAGATAAGTTTGTTTAAAACCCCACTTTAAAAAGTCATGTTAATATAATTTTTTTAATATTAAATTTTAATATTTATGACAGTAGGGCATAGTCAAATAACACTTTTTAATTTTCTTAGCAGAAGTAAAATGTTTAATTCAAAAACTGGTGTTGTGAGTTTTCCACCTTCTTAATGAATCAAAATATTTATGTAAGCCATTTCAAATACTTTTTTATAATATATTAGTGATATAACATTTCATAAGTTAGTAGATTAAAATTTACAGTATTTAAACTAAATGAATTTTGTTATTTTTTGCGGAAACATACTGCAGTCTATTTGTCACAGTGAAATGTGATATATTTTTGTACATTAATGAAACTAATTTATTTAATCCTGTATTAAAATAAAAATTTAGCACAAGATTCAATTTAATAACTAATTAATTTTATTGTTTAATCATGTTTTAAAATAATATAATAAATTAAAATGGTAGCTAATTAAATTATTTTGAAAAATGTAAGAATCGTATCCCAGCTCAAATGTTAAAACTGGGCAATATTTAATCTTAGGTGACATTAATGTTAGAGAAACACATTTTTTATTGAGGTCCATTATACCAAGTCTCATAATCTAAATTAGAGATAAGTAAATAAAATGACATCGACGTAGCAAAATTAAATCACTTTTATTCGTAGTACCATTATTTAGTCTGCATTCACAGTTAAATTATTTTTTCACTTTATAACACTAAAATCCTTTAAAATCAATTAAAATTTACTTACTGTGTAAATTTTTTAAAAGAAAATATAAATATTTATGTGGCAATTATTTAAAATACTGTATATTTTTTTTTTCATAAATAATCTCATAATTTTGGACATGCCTGTAAATTCAGATTTTAGGCATATATTCATTCATAGGACTATAATTTTAACTGTATACTTCTTAAGACTAGAGGTGATTCTTTTGGCAGGTACGAGGTAAATTATCTTATATATATATATATATATATATATTTTTTCATTTCATGAGGTAGATATATTTCTTATATTTTTTTTTTTCATTTTATGAAGTAAATTATTATCTTATAATTTTTTTCATTATTATGCTTTGCATGTCAATCAAATCTGTATTAATATTTTGATTTTCTATATCTTATGCTTTCATTTAAAATTTCAAATAATGCTTAATTTTAAAGCTTTGAAGCTCTTTTAAGTAATATTTTTCTGCAATTACATTCACATTATTTTTTCCCAAGCAGAGTAAAATTTAAAATGATTAATTATTGAAAGGAATATTTTTCTAGTTTTAAAAATAGAATTGAATTTCAAAAATCATCTATTAAAAGTGGAGAGAAAATTATTTGGAACTTTCGAAGATGCAGTATGCCTTTAGAATTTCTCAGTATTTTGTCACAAGTGCATTCTAAGGTGTTTGAATTAAGAAGTGAGAAGAAAGATGTGCCATTAGGTTCTCTTTTATTTTATTATAAAAAAAATAATTATCTTTAATGTCATTCTAACCTGATAACAAGCATATGATATTTAGCTGATGTTTTAAACTTTTTTTATTTATGCAGTATTTTTTTAAGGTATCCATGCATGCTGACTGCCACCTGATTCTTAATTTCCTGATCATAAATTTTCTTATACTGCTCAGCAGTAAAATTATAGCACCAGAAAGGAATGTCTTAAAAATTTGAATTTCACAGAATCAGTAGATAGATTATTCATATGCAGATAATTAGAAATTTCAAACAAAATATTGATAGCTTTATTTATTCAATATAGGATGTGATATTATGCATGGAATATATGCACTTACATACTTTACATATTATCAGTGAGGTCATCAATCAATTAATCATTGTCTAAGGAAGTTTCTGCAGTGTTGCAAACACTTGAGAATACATAGCATTCAGAGATATGTCCAACAATGTGTCAGGCTGCAATAATTCAAGTATATGGAAATTTCTCAGTGTTGCACAAGCAACGTGGTGCTTAACATTTATTAATGAAAATAAAATTGTAAAAATTTTTTTAATTAATTATTCTTCCTTATTATTAATCTAGTCATTTAATTTGTATGAAATTTTTCAGTTTAATGATATAATGCATAGAAAATTTGTGTGCAGAGTTATGAATTTTATTTTTAAAAAATGTAAATTCATTTTAATTTAGAATTATTTTAATAACAATGGCATTAAAAAGGTAATGAATTAGTGATGATAAGTCTAACGTATATCATGTGCTAAGGAAATTTGATAATTCTAATTCGGTCAGGAGTTTTTATGGCCTAAAAATTTAAAAATGCATAAGTCATTTGCAATTAATTAAATTCTTAAGACTATGTGAAGCAAAACAAGGAATAAGGTCTTTCATTAGGAAATTAAAAGGATGGAACAAAATTTTTCAGTTTAGTGATACAATGCATAAAAAATTTGAGTGTAGAATTCTAATTTTTTTTTTTAAGTTGTAATTGCATTTTAATTTATAGTTTTCTTAATAAAGATGGCATTAAATAGGTAATGAATTAACAACCCTAAGGTATATCATGTGCTAAGAAAACTGAATAATTTTAATTCAGTCAGTACTTTTAAGGCCTAAAAATTTGAAAATAAATAAGTTATTTGTAGTTAATTAAATTTTGAAGATTGTGTTAAGCAAAGACAATGAATTAGGATTTTCATTGAAAAACTGGCATTGTGGAAGACGAATACATAATATAATTAGGAAAATAAATACAATCTCATGCATATTTCTGATAGGCATAAGGATGTATATTTATGTAGCATGTAATTGAAACTGCTGAGCTCCAAAAATGATTCATAACTGCAGAATAACTGAAATTACTTATAACATTCTATCTTAATAAAATTGAAAAATAGCGATAAACCCAGTAAAAAATTATAATAGTTACTCTCTGGGTATTGACTTAATGCTGATTATATTAAAATCTATTTACCCTCATTAGAAAGAATATAACAATATCTCTTCTTATTTGCATTTTTATTTATATTTGAGTTGCTGCAATTCTTAGTGTTGTGAAAAATGTTTTTGTGTTGGTTATATAGCAAATGTTATGAAATGATTTGTGTATGCCATTTTAGACCAAATTGTAGAACCAACATTAGGTTTACAAAACTGCATTTTTCATTTATGCTCTTTGTCTACCATTTTTCATGTATTACTGTCCTTTAAAAAACTTTATAATTTTGTTCTTCAGAGGAGAAAAACTACACTTTGTGTTACACTGAATTGCATTCAAACTGATTACAAGAAAACTATCCTTATTTTCTTCATATTTGCCTATCAATAACATAACATTCAATAATTATCTAAAAAATTTGATTTTTAATGCTTCAAATTAAGTATGTAAAATATGACATTATGTAATATATTATGTAATATAAGTTAAATTAATATATTTAATAACTTTTGATTTAATAAGTAATTTTATGCACACAATGCACTTTTATTTTATTTCTTAAATGCACATTTAATATATGATTTTGAATTTATAACTTACACAAAAGAAATAACTGTATAATAAGATAGCATTTATATATTTAACACTATGAAATATTAATTATTTTACTTTGGATTTTCCAATGATAAATTTTTAAGTATTTATTTCTTCTAACAGATTTATTAAATTAAAATATATTGTACAGATACAAAATAATAATAATAATGTATTTAAATAACTTAAGCGACAGTGTTTCTTTTACATTCTTCTTTCTTTCTGGCACTTTAGCTGCATTTTAGCCTTTCTATTTCAACAAATATCAAATTTTGAGTATTGGAGCTTGACTGAATAGCAAGTCTTACATTATAGACATATGTATGTGATGTTAGTTAATGCCTGCAGTGTATATATTTTGAACAAATGACCATTATTCTATAAATGTTTGTTGGTTTATTAAATCTGATATTTCCATGTTTCTTAGTGTATGCTAGTATTAAACAAAATGCTGTACATCTGTAGTTAATTTTTTTAGAAGTAAAGTAATTCTTAATTTAATTATAGGTTATAAATGTTTGTAGACGTGATGTAAAATAAAAGCAGTTATACTTTTATTGAATTTGAAAAAATTATAAAAATATGTTTAATTTTTAAAGCTTATTAATTAGATCATTTGATGTACATCATCATATATAATGATCATTTTCTAATTAAATTATATAACAGTTACTGGTCGTTGTATTATATGCCATGTAGTGTACTTTTATCATAACTAAGATTACAGTGGTATATGTACAAAAGTTTAACAAAATGTGATCAATGTAAATGAGTGTTATATAAACAACAGATTACAGTGTATATATGTAAAATGTAATCTGACTACTGATTTTATTCATAACTTTGATCTTTATGCAATTTCAAGGTTGTTAATTTATTAATCCTTTTTTATCATTGATTGGCAGTTTAATTATATAGTTTAAGTTTTCATGTTTATATCTATTGTGAATATTTATAAAAAGAAATTTAATTTGTTTTATATTAATTTCCTTAAGTATTAATCTTCTGTTTGGGCAACATCTTCAGTTCATATTTCTGATTATTGTATTGTTCAGTGCTAATTATTTCATTTTATAATAATTGTTAGAAAAACCGAGGGATAAGAAGAAAAGTGAGACACTTTTGAACCTGGAAAATCAGTTACTTGCAACATGTAAATCATTAATTGAGTATCCTGTAGACAGTCCAGTATCGGAAGTAATTTTTAAGTATAATAAGAGGAAAGAAAATTATATTAAAATTTTAGAAGAGGTATGTTAGTTTTTCATGTATCGCTCTCCTTATTCTTATTTTTAAGCTGAATATTATTTTCCTTGTTCTTTTTCTTCTTCTCTGTGTAAGCTTTAACGAATTATCTATGCATTTATTTTACTTTTTATCTGTGTTATATAAGTGTTGTTGAAGCTTTAACTGGAAAGCTGGGGGAAAAATAATTATATTATGTAATAGGAAAATGAATACAATCTTATACATATTTTTAATATCTATAGAGGTATATGCTTATTACACACACACATACATATAACAGACAAAGAGAAAGAAATTTAAAACCAAATCTACAAAGACATGAAAGAAATGAAATTAAAAACCAATAAAAAATTTTGTAATATTATAAATATGTAAGATACAACAAAATATGATAGCTGCTTTAAGAATAACTGGCGACCTCAAAAATTAACATTCTAGATTTGGTACTCTCCCCCTAAGCTCAACCTTTCTCCCAAATTCGAGATCATTCAAAATTACATAACTCTTCTTGAAAAATGGAACTAAAGCCCAAAATTAACCAATCACAGAATAGCTGTACTTTGTGCACCTACCTTGTATAAATAGCTAATAACTGCATTGTCTTTCTCTCTTTCATCTCTTTGCTTGCGTGCTGACAGCTTGTCACTCAGCCTCTGCTAGCTATTCGCTATTAATTAAATGCAATTGCATATTTAAAATTATGGGGTGCATTTACCCCTAGTCTTCTACAGTTATATATTAAGAAATTCATCATTCAAGAATAAATTATGTTTAGCTATTAAGCTGGCCGTGCTTCCAAAATTCCATCCAATCATCCATTATGCCATAATGTCCAATCATCTATGCAGCAGTTTTTTCGGCCATGACTAAATATAAATTGTTTTTATACCAAAAGTACTATTATTACATATATACATACATGAAACTACCTTGCCTCCACGGCATTATGCAAAGTGTCATTGGATACATAGAAGTAAGCTTGAGTAATAATCAGTAAGTACTTATTTTGTATGATCTGAAGTTTATTTAGATCTGTATTAATGACCGCTGCCCAGGCAGTTGAGGCATAGGTAATAATGGGCCTTAGAATGGCTGTGTAAACATGCCTTTTCCTTAGAAGATCTAGTTTGGAAAATTTTCCTATAAGTGGAAATAGATTTTTCATAGTGGAGAGGGCTTTTCCTTGTACTTTATTTATGTGATCACTCCAAGTGAACTTGCTATTGAGAGTGACAACTAAGTAGTTGGCCAACTGAACTATGGGAACTTCAACATTAAAGAGCTTGAGTCTGGCAGAGACCAGGAGTCTTTTTGGTCTTTTTCTGTATGATGAATATCTATGATTTCTGTGCGTTGATAGAATGATGAGTAGCTATGATTTCTGTGCGTTGATAGAAATTCTCCACACTGTGCATGAGTGTTCTATCTGGGGTGTGATCTGTAGTTTATTGATTGCATTATCAACACTAAATGACTAAACTGCCAGTGTCATATCATCGGCGTAGCATTCTACAAATACATTTAAGTACGTTAAAACTCATGAAAAGTCCGTCACATAAAATGTATACAAAATTGGGCCTAAAATAGACCCCTGTGCTACACCTGCATTAAGTCTCTTCTGCAGGGATTTATCATTACCGATATTCACGAAAAATTTTCGATTCTTGATAAACAAGTAGATAAGTAAAATTAGGTTCCTGTTGAAATCCAAGCAGATTAATTTGAAAAGGAGCCCCGCCCTCATACCAAACGCGGTCGAAGGCTTTCTCTACGTCTAGCATGAACAAGGCAACCTTTTGGTGATTATGAAGAGCCAATCCAATGAATTCATTCAGACGGACAAGTTGCAAGGTAGTAGACAGTGATTTTCTAAACCCGAACTGTGTCTCAAATGAGCAATGCAGTTTTATTTAAAAGAGCAACGATAATATGTTCATTTCAATGTATAACTGAATTCAATTAAAATAAATTTTGATTTTAAACTAATAAAAGGAATATGTAATATAATGTCATTTTTTGCATTATCCAAGTTGAAAATAAAATAAAATATCAAATTTTCAGTCCTGTTACTGTTTCACATATTTTGCAAATCTATTGAAATTATGACTTTTTTATTTTGATTTGACAGCAGATCTAAATATAACTTCAAAATTGTTTATGTATGTTTAATAAAATTGAGAGGCAATTATTAAATCTATTTAAATATTAACATTTTGTATTTAAAAATTTTTATTTAAATATGTCTAAAAAATGTTTTTCTTCTTTTTTTTAGCATTTAGTAATAATTTTTTTGTAATTTTAATGTATCATTGAAAATACTAAGTTTATTTTCATAAAGAAATTACAGAATGGTATTGATTTGAACTTTTGTTATGTAGACAGTTGTTTCACAAAGTTGTAGTTGATGTTAATGAAATCTATGCATCAAATAGTTTCTGTGACTAAAATCTAAATTTTAACTAGGCTCATTTACATCTCATTAAGAGTACTAAGTAATAAAGGGTTGTTTATAAATACTCACATTAAGCATAAATATTTTGTCACTAGTTGGAAACTGGTAGGGGGGGAGATGGGTTTTCTTTAATAAGAACTTAGTCAAAATAAATTATTTGACTTATTTATTTGCTTATTTTAAATAAATGATCTCATTTGTATTTCTAATTCATATTTCTAATTCATCTCTCAGTCTAATCTTTATGTAAGTAAACAAGAAAATAAGTCAGGTAGTGTGTCTGTAATCACATATAAAACAATACATTATTTTAGAATTTTGCCACTAGAAAAATGACGGTAGTGATGGCATGTGATAGAATGTAGACAGCTGATAGTTTCTGAGATTGCTGCAGAAATACAAAGTGTAACAAAAAAAAAAAAAAAAAAAAAAAAGGGAGAGAGAGAGAGACTGGTCCAATAAATCATTGTACTTACAGAATCAGTTAGTTCCCCATTTTATTATCACCTTCAAAGTAGTCCACTTCTGTATTCGGTGCTGCCATTGCTGGTAACAGTTCTGGAACAAGGTTTTTTGGAAGGCCCCTTCAGGAGATTCTATGTTTTTGACTGAACCTCTTCACCTGAGGTAAAATGGCTTCCCTTTTAGCAAGATTCAACTTAAAGAAATAAAAAAAAGTCGCATGGAGCTAAATCAGGTGAATAAGGATGATGCCCTTTCACAGTAATATTTTTGCTGGTCAGAAACTACTTAATAGATAGGGCCGTGTGAGCTGGTGCATTGCCCTGGTGCAACAGCGACCCATCACTCCACAACTACAGCCTTTTTCCTCAATTTTTTCATGAAGTCTTTTTAGCACTTCAATGTAGTAGTGTAGATTAACAGTCTCACCACTAGGAACCCACTCAGTCATTACAATTCCATTAATGTTGAAGAATTGCCCTGAATTTGGATTTTGACATGCGTGCTTTGTCCCTTCCTCCTGAAAACCGTTTATGCCATTCAAACACACATGCAAGAAAAAAGGTTTCGTCTCTATAACCCTCAGTTAACATTTAAAATGTTTCTGAGGCTAATTTCTTAAGTTTCACAAGAAACTTGTTGTTGATTTGCTGTTCGGATTTTTACATTAGACATTTTCCCCGGAAGAATGCAGTTGCACATGTTCACTCAATGATATAGTACTCCCAACTGGTATGATCAGCAGTGGTGGATTGGCCAAAGGAATCGGCCCTGGCAGGAAAACGTATGCCGGCCCTAAAGCCCCATATGGAATGTACGAGTTACATTTCATATAGGTTAATGCTATATGGGCATTGCATGGATATTATTATTGTATGGGTATTGTATTCATATGAGTTATTATACATACATATAAGTTATTACGGTCATCATCATAATCATAAAAAATAATTTTATAAAATAAAAATATACCTTAAATAATAACACCCTTAATAATAAAATATATCAGAAAAGTTACACTTTATTCATATATGTGTGTGTGTGTGTGCAAATAAACTACAAACAATAAATAACAGTGACTTCAAATTGGCACTATTATTGATATAAATCAAATGGACCAATGTTCAGTTTTTATTAGGTACCTTTATAAAAAAAACATATACGAAAGAGTGATAGGTATTTTATCTGGAATAGATTCCACTGGATTTTGTATGTGCAATATGATCATCGACTTCTTATAGAGTATAGACATTGATGTCAGAAAATGTGTCGATAGTTCTACAAATGGTGTGTGAAATATGTGTGGTGCTTACAATGGTTTAGGGAAAAAGCACACAAATTATGCAAACAAAGCAGTGATTGATTTGTATTTAACTATTTAAATATTTTTTAATTCCAGGCACCTGGGCAAATTTTTACTCCATTATATCTTCAATTATTGCTTTTTCTAAAGTAGCCTTCTCTATGTTATCAATAGCAATGACTTCAAATCAGCTTGCTTCAAAATGCTCCTTAATCTACACTTACAATTTTTAATTTTGAAAAAGCTCTTTCGCATTCAGCTTGCATTATAGATAGAGTGACTACATTATAAGGAAAAAAGACATTGGAGTATGTGTTATATATAAATTATATTTCAAGAATAATTTAACACAAGATGCAATTTTTCCATAAATTGCATTTAGCTTTGGATGAATGCTCATTAATAGATAGAGCACTCTCTCCTTCTGACTTGGTATCAGATTCAAAATAATGATTTTCATTTGAATTTTTTAGTATTTTCCATTTACTTCTTAGGGGTCCTGATATTCATCCTTTAGATTATCAATTGATACACCTGCATAGTGCCATAATAATATAGATAAATAGTCAAAAAAGTTCAGTGATAATGGCTTCGGAAAGTTTTGGGATTCGTGAAGAGATATGTTTTCATACAACTTCCTATGTCCTTTAAACCTACTTTCCATTGATGAAATTGTGTTATCCATTATAAAATTAAAGTCAGTAACTTCAAATTGTTTGACAGGGCAATTGAAATTATAGCTGGATGATTTTTTATAGTCTATTTGCTTCACTTTTCAGCATCTTCTAGCAGGTAGTTCTGCTTATATAATTATATCACTACCGTTTATTATTGCAATTTGTTGCTAACGATTTTGATGTGTTAAATATTTAAATCAAAGTTTCTAGAAATGGCTTTTAAAGATCTTGTAGCTTCCCTAACTGTATTATATGCTAGAATGCAATCCAATCCTTTAGTCTGCAAATACTTCGTTACCGCGTTAGTATATTGAAATATTTTAAAATATAGGTAAGCAGAAAAATTATTCTAAAGATTTTGCCATTTGTCATGTTTGTGCATTTTGTGTATCACTAGAAGCAATACATTTAGATTGCAGGTATTAATTCTACGTATAAACAATTATGTTTGCAATCGAACGAGCCAAAAATTTGTTTTAGAGCATAGTATTTCAAACTCCACCTAGTTTCACCGATGAGATGAATCTTCCTAGATCTGGTTTTATCATTGATTACTCTCCACATATCCATTCTTTAATAGGATTCTTAAAGAATTTACAACGCTCATTTATTAGGGGAAAAGGAGAATTTCCTTCTAAAACGCTATTCGTAGAATCGACCAATACTAAATTTAGAGCATTGGAGTAACACCAAACATGAATTCGGTGAGGTGCTTTTCACTCAACCATTTATAAAAACCATTGTAAGCACCACGTATATTTGACGAGCCATCTGTAGAACTGCCGATACATTTTCTGTCATCACTATCCATGCTCTCTAAGAAGTTAAGGATCATATTGCACATACCGAGTCCAGTAGAATCTGTTCCAGATAAAATACCTCTCTCTTTCATATATGTTTTCTTTATATGGATACCGAATAATAACTGATCATTGGTCCATTTGATTTATGTCAATAATAGTAACAATTTGAAGTGAGTAAAAATTCACTTCTCGAATCTCAGTTTATCAGGACTACCGTTTTGTCTAATTGCTTTGGCAAATATGTTGGTGTTTTGAGTAGAATAGTGAGTTTACTTTAAACTATGTTCTTTGAAATTATAGAAGATACAACGCAGATGAGAAGGGTTCAATTACTCACAGTATTCTTCACAGTTTACAACTGTTCCTGCACTTCGGGATACAAAGACCAGGTTTGAGATAAAAAATATTGTTTCCAGGAAATTTCCATGATCAACATTGACATCTGTTAAGCTTCATGCATTTTCATGCCTATGACTGGAAAGCAATTCCTCGTTTTCCCAATAAATTGAGCAACCTCAATAATTACTTCCAAACTCGCTTTCGACTTATTTGATTTTTTTGACGAATCGTCGACATTTCTGAAAACAAAGTACTATATATATCTTTTCCTTTTACATTCATAATATGTGCTTCTATACCTTTATTATGAATTATACTCGCTTCATGTTCATTCCCTCATTGTATTATGTGGCGCCAATCTCTCGTTCCTTCATTAACAAATGTACTTTCATTACAGCTGTAGGAGTAATGTAAGCAAATAATGCAGAATAATTCATTTGTCTCTTTACAGAAACTCAACTATTTTCTACTACTTCCATTAGGTTGATAAAACACTAGATGAGGGAAGAAAAGGCAAATATTTTGAGGCTGAAGGATGGCAGGAGTGTTTGCTAATAAAATCCTGTCGATCTTAAGCTGCTGTCAGTCATGCAAAGTAGATTAATATATTAATTACAACTAATGAAAAATAATATGTTAATTGCAAATAATGAAAAGGATGATAATGAGCTTGCTGTTGCTACGGTAATATTTTTTATATTGGTTTCTTCTGTTATTAGCATTACCGAATTCTCCTCACATATCTTGGATATTTCAGTTTCAAATGTTTCTGAAGTTGTGGCCTCTCCTTTTTGTGTTTGTGCCGTAACTGTTGTGGAAGAAGATGCTGGTTTTGTAAATCTAGGATACATATCCATGATTTCTGAGCAATGTTTTGCAAAATCCTTCATTTGTTTTTTTCCTCGAAGATTCTGTGCACCTCTTTTGATTTTTTATTTATCCATTCTAGGATAAGCTCTACTCTAGCCTACAGCTACCGTATCTCATGTAAGTTTGAGTGCGATATGCACTCCGTGCATTCATGTCTCCCTCACGCACAGGGCTGTCTCGGTGAGTCATCTATGTCAATTGAATCTTTCAAGTTTCTTGATCGGCCTGAAATCGCTCCGGCCCACCAGTCCGTTGCCCAGTCATCCACCGACCCTATCTGCCACTGGTGATCGGCTAAGTTGAAACTGGCCACATGGATAGAGGAGGTATGTGGGATGACATCATCAAAACAGTTGCTGCCAACTCTTTCTCAACTTTATCTTTTTTCAAACTACACACTTAGTCTTTTTTTTTTTTTTTTTTTTTTTTGTGTGTGTGTGTGTGTGTCACATCTCATAGATATTAGATCATTGGAAAAAAAAAATTCTTGTATTTCTTATTCTGTAATTTTGATTTCTAGTAATCTTTATGATCAGATTCCAGTACAGCTGTCCTTCAACTTGCAAACTGCTTAGCATGAAAACTTTTCAAGATTTTTTTTATGCATATATATATATATATATATATATATATATATATATAAGCCTTTGTAAACAAACTTATTTTTCACATGCAAACTTTTTTCATGTTCCATTTCGGCCTCTAGATTCAAAATTATTCTTAAAATAAGAACTGCTATAATATTTTTAACATTACAATATATGCTTTTTAATTTAAAGGTTTATGTAATAACTGCTATCTAAGTGAAATTTTTTTGTTAACTAATTTTCAACTCTGCAAATGCTGAAACCTGGATTCACAACTGGGGGTCTGTTTGCCAGGCTTTTACTGTGTGTGTTGTGGAACTGGTTTTGGTATTGCGGTATGTATTACTGTACTTGCACACTTCTCTTGTGTATCATGTAATTTAATTCTTATTTTCTATCTAATGTGTGACAAATGTTATTTGTAGCTTGTGTGTTATTTATTTTAAAAAATTCATAAAGTTTTTTTTTTTCCCCTTACTAATTGTAGTCTGTACTACAGTTAAAACATTTAATTTGTGTTTTAAGTCATAATGTTAATTCCAAATTTTCACAAGCAGTTTTGGCTAAGCTAAAGCTATTTAATTTTTTTTTTTTCCTTTTTTAAGTTATTTTGTCCTTGTTTGACTCATATAGAAATAATTATACATTCATGTCTAGAATATATCTTTACATGCACGAAGTAGTGGATTTTGAAACTGTGAGCTGTATATAATTTTTTGAGATAGTGTGGAAGGATACATAATATCATAATGCATAAATATAAAGGAAAAAAATAAAAGCACTGTATACATTATAAAACTAGCATAAAACAATAAAAATGGTAAAATGTTATATGAATATAATATGTTACATGAAGAGTTGAGGGGGAAGTGCAAATCAGAAAAAATTAAGGCATGTGAACTTAATATGGAATATGATCTTCCCTGGCTTGTACATGCATATCACAATGTGTTTTCATGTTGGCAATAATGCTGTTAACCACAATTTGGAGAATTATCCATTCCTCCAGCAATGCAATCTTCAGGGCATTTACATCCCTAGGAGGAGAATATTTGTGTGCAATTGATTTTCCAAGGTAATCCCATAAGTTCTCTTTCAAGTTAAAACCAGGAGATGTTGCTGGCCATGGTATTCACTCAATATATTCACTTTCAAGGAATTTGTCAATGAGATTTGCTTGATACGAATGAATATTAGCATTCATAAAAGGCCAGACCCATATGTACTTTTGAAAAGTCTTACATGGGGTCCTAAGACCTCATCCTGATAACTGTGGCTTGTCATAGATCCGTCGTGGGAAAACATGTAGGGGTGTACGTCAATTGATCATGGTTCCTTCCTATACCATCACACATGCATTATCAAAATGTTCGTATTCCATATTGTCTGAAGAAAGACTTTGTGTTCCTAACTCCCTCCAGATGTAAACACATTTCAAATCAGGTATTAAACTAAACCTTAACTCATCACTAAAGAGAATGTGGGACCACTGATGATTACTCCAGTTCTGATTTTCTTTAAAAAAATTTTGTTATTGTTGATTTAGTTTTCCTTTGTTATTGTTGATTTAGTTTTTCATGTTGTTGAGAGTGATATGTAGTGTAAAACTTGGTTGCCTACCAAAGCAGAATACTTGCTGTAAGTAAAACATAAATTTTAACGGGTGTTTTCTTTGAGTTCAACAAAGCAGATGAGCAGGATATGTCAATCTATGATATGTGAAGAAAAACATATGTTGAAGAACAGGTGATTAACTTGACTAGCTAAAATTGATACATTCTACTTTGTTATTCATTTAAGTCAGCCGCTACATGACTGCAACAACTGTATGCGATACTTCAAACAAATGCTGTATGGGACATTTTGTTAGATTCCTATTCCCCTTCTAGTCTTTGACAACTATTTTCCATGTTAGGATCCCATGCATCACTTCACCACACCATACTGGCAAGAATCATGGCTACTGGTTTCATCAATAATCAGGACTACACACACCTTGGATAAACACACAGTCTTCACATATTTCTCAGCTTCTAACTTAGAATTATATAGTGGTAAACTTTTTGTCTCTTCTGCACTGCAATCAAAAATGCAAAACCATTAAATTTTAATTCATGGGTTTATGTTCAAAATAAATTTGGACAACTGAGATATTAGGTTGGTTCAAGATTTAACCGTTATGCCCTCTGGTTTTAACTTTTTTTTAAATATTCATATTTCATTTCATAAAATTATTAAAATTAATTTAAAATTATTGGATCAAAATGCTTTCAAACAATCATTAATCTTTGAGTCTAATTTACTTCCTTTACATCATAGTCTTATTGTTTTCTCCATCAGCATATTGCTGCTTACGAAGCATTTGAAAACATATCTGTGGAAGAATCCCAATATACTCAAACAATAGCAGAAATAGAGTCTTCTTATTTCAAGTTCAAGGATAGTGAAGTTTCGCATGAAACATATTCTAAAATGTGTACTTTCACAGAAAAGAAGGAAAAAGTGGTGTCATTTATGAAAAAGGTTGGTTGATTTAATTTGTTGCTAAAATTACTTTCTCATAATACGAGTAATAGTCTGTGTAATGCCGGTGTCATTTAAATCAGCATCATTACTCATTTATATAATTGGTATAATTCATATATTTTTATAATTAATGTGGAAAATTCTAGTATAATTTAAAGAAATCGTAAAGAGTTGTCTGTTTTCTCATACTGTTTTTTATAATTTTTACTTTTCTATTAAGATGAAAATTATGCAGTAAACCTTCTGTCTTAACATTATTTGGTTTTCTCTTCTCAGTTCTTTTTTAATAAAATTTTATGCAAGAAAGTTGACAGGAAATGCTGCATTTATCTTCAACAAAATATTTTTAAAAATGAAAGCATGTCTGTACTGATTAGTAATAGTACAGTACCGTTGCATAGAAAATATAACTCCTTTTTTCTACATTTTATCATTTCATTCAAAAAGCAATATTCTTCTCTATTCTCAAAATTTAAAATTTAGTTTTGAATTGAAATCCCCCCCCCATGATTATTTTTCTTATTTCAATTGCCTGAGCTTACATTGACTTTTTTTCCCTGTTTATGCAGGTGTTTTATATGTCTTTTATTTTTCAAAATTTAGATAAAATTCTTTCTAATATGTGCTCTTCTTCATCCTCTGCTAGTTCCTAACAGTTAGGATGGTATTTTTTCCCACCAGGCTTTGCAGGACATCCTCATCGAACTGTACAGTTCCTGCAGGAATAAGCTTGTGCTCTAGGCTGTGTTTCTGACTTCGAATTTTTGAAAACATTACTTATGCTTATTTTCTAATCCCCAAATACTGCATTAATATTCCTACTAATAATTATTTAATTGAATTCATAAGTCAAAATATGTCGAGTATGCTCCGTAATCACTTCCTTTAACTTTGAAAAAAAATAACTGTTAAAATTGAAGTACACCTTTCAAAACTTGCACTTAAAACAAGAGCAAGGTAAAATTATTACCTGCTTTTATAACGAATTGATGCAAGTAATTTATCTCCTCCTATTACGATTTTCAGTTTAGTTGAAAAAAAGAATGCCTTATCTAAGGGATAACCCAGATTAATCTTATACACAAAAGTGATGAACTAAGAATAGAAATTTCAGTAATAAATAAATCAGCATTTATAGTTTAATCAGATCTCCCAAATTACCCTCCATTTGTCATCAAAGGAAACTTTTCTAGAAATCTTATCTTGCTTGCCTGAATCTGCATTGGTAGGTTATCATTTTCATGTGGTTAATTTGACTTCAAGGAGAAATCCATTTTCGTGCATGTTAGCTAAATAGACATTTATTTTTTAAAGAAACAAACAAAGTCTTCCTCTGATTTTGAAAAGGAAAAAATAGAAGATCTTCTAAAGCAATTTTTTTCTCAATTTTTCAAAATATTATGTATGCATATACAAAAGCGATTTAACACAATTTCCCCTCTGAAATTTCAACTAAAAATCAGTTGTTCAAACTAGCTCAGGGAGGAATGTGTTTGTTAGTAAAGTTTACTGCCATAAATATGATTACTACATTTTCATGGCAAAATATTACTTTTTTTCATTTGTTTATATCTTTTTTAATAAGTGAATCGAAATTTGTGATAAAAAAAATTTGATGAGAAAATGGAAATAAATATGAAATATCACTTTTTATGTGCTATCTCATATGATTGTTATCAAAATTTATGTTTTATACCATGCTGCTGTTTAACTCCATATTTCATGCAGTTATATCTTATCTTTTGACACAGCAGATCATCCTAATTCCTATTAATGAAAGTTTTATTCTATGTTACTAAAATTTGATATTTTTCTCAGTTATTGCCTTTAACTAAAAGTTAGTAATGAAAGAATACTAAGCTTTTGCCGGAAGTTATAGAAAAATGTTATTTGCTTTTTTTATACTTGAATTTTATGCATATTAATTTCAACAATTTCTATAAAAACTGCATCAGTTATACTTTGATAGCACTTTTATTGTAATTAATAAAAATATCATTTTTAATACATAGGTATTAATATGTTAATTAAACATACATGTATATATTATTCAGGTTTACAGAAAGTGTGAAGAATTCAACTTAAATCTGAATTCTGCTTTTCTAAATGAAATAGAAAGTGATCCTGAGACAACTGAAGGTTATTTTTGCATTGGCAAAGAATATGCTAAATATTTGGTAAGAAACATGCTTTGAGTCCCCATCAAAATGAAATATCTCTTAATGGCAAGTTTATTTCAGCTTTATTTACAAATGAAGGTAAATCTGTTCTGAATTCAAATTGCTAAATGGTTTTTGGAAGTATTTTATATAAAAGGATTACCAAATTAAGATATGTTGTGATTCCTGATAAACATTCATTATTAAAATTTAGTAGCAGAACATAATAATTTGTTGAAAATATAAAGAATTAGTTGAAAAGATAGTGATTAAAATATTAATTGTTAAATGTCCATTTAATCAGTGCTTAGTCTTTATTTATATTTTGACTTTACTCACACGTTAAAGTGTATTAACCTTGTAATATTAATATGTTCCTTTTCATAATATACAGTCTGAAAAGAAATGAAATTATTTTCAACCACAGATGTTTTGAAAAATTTAGGCTTGACAGATTTTCAAATTTTCTAAAAATATTTTACCCAAAAAGAAAAAAAAAAAAAAAAAAAAATTGTTCATGAATCTTAAAAGATTGTGTGTGATAATAATTGCAGTTGACCTGACATTCAAAGAGAAAATCATTAAAGTCACAGCAGTGAGCCTTTCTGTTAAATAAACTTATATTTAGAACAGAATGTTAGTGTGAATTATATAGCTGCCTATAATGGCAATACTTGAAAACATTAGGTCTGGCATAGACTCATATAAACCTCAAATATCTACTAAAGAACTTCTTGCCATATATTTTATAAGTGCTCAGGAAGTTCACATACATTGCAAGATGGCTGTAATCAGCATCCCAATTCCATATGTGTTTTTGTTTGAGGAAAAACTTGGATATTTGTCAATATTGTAATGCAAAGGGGAAATTTTATGGCTCTCAACAGACAACAGGTTGTGGTAAACTGCTGCAAAAGATGCCTGAGAAAGTGATCTGATATCATAAACTTATGTGATAAATACCAGATGTGATGGATATATACTCCACTGCTCCACATTGACTTAAATTAAGCAAAATTAGCTGCATCTCCTCCTTTACATAGAAATTCTGTATTTATCAGAGGCAAAAAAAATTTTATTTTTCACTATACATGATACAGTTTTAAATTAATGTATTTTAATTTTAATATTTGTGACACTTTGTTTTGCTATTATATCCTGGAGTTTGTGGATATCACGACAGATCTCTTTATCTTTATTACAGATCTCTTAATTTATTTTTCAGATAACTTTCTAAGAATAATGCTTTGAGACATTGTACATCCAAGAAATGAGGGTAATTGGTTTTGGTTAGCAAATACGGAATATATTGGTGCAGATGTGGCAGCTTGTACTATCATATGATCTTACTGTAAAATTATCATCCATGGCCTGTTGTTGTCTCAGTGATGGTTATGGATGTCTTTTTGATAATAACATCAATTAAACTGTATCATTACTCAGTCTTTTGCACTGGGCCATTCATTGCTCATTGGTAAAATCAGCCAACTCCCTTGAAGGAGGTGTAAAAGTCTCTGTTGAATTCACTGAATTACTTGAATAATTACCATGGGACATACTTATTTACTAATGCAAACAGCATTACTACATAAGTAATTCTACTAAAGGGAAGTGCTGAAGTGATCTGGTATCTGAGCTATGTACTTTCTGTGTGTTTTGATTATGAATTTACCATTTGTTTTACACAAGGTTTTTGTGTTTAGTTTCTATTATTTGCACGTCTAGCTAAGAGGTTAAGCTTTGAGACCATCAGAGATAATTTTTTAAATATGCAGATTTCTCCCTCACCCCCTTCCAATCTAGAATGGAATTATATTAGTAAATACTCTTGCATGCTCTTAATATTGTAGCTTTTTTACTTTAGACTAGGTACTTTGAGGTCACTGGTCTCCTTTCATAACATATTTTATCATTCCTGCATGCACTAATTTCACCTTCTTCATTTGAGATTATAGTTCATATCATCCTTTAACCATGTGCACTTTTTAGTGTTAAATTTTCTTCAGGTATTTACATACTTTTGTGGTAACACAATAGAGTTGTTTATTTCATCTAAACAGGCTATGGCTTGGTCAGATGAACAGGAAGAACAATTGATAAAGAAAGTGATAAACATGATATTTAAAACTGACTAAATACATTCGTTATGTCAAAAATTACATAACAGTAACTTGAACAAACTGCTAATTTATGCTGATATACTACAAAGAACAATCAGACTTGATAAAAAAAAGTTGGCAATTGTCTTTTGTTTTACAGGCTGTTTGATGTTTTATCCCAGCTAGATATTCCAGTCCCTGTAAGAGTAAAACCTCTGTTCATGAAGTTTCTTTTAGAAAACTTCATGAACAGAGTTACAGAGTTTTGAACAGAGAACAGAGTTACAGAGTTTTGAACAGAGAACAGAGTCCTTTAGTTTTGAAATATGTTTCCTACATATTTCAGCACTATCTCCAGGGCTCTGTGTTGCCTCAGTGTGAGAAACTCTGTTCCTGCTTTCTGCCATCATTTCTTCATCTTCTAATGATCTTTATCATTCATCTGTATTATCCTTCTGTGTCTTTATCACTCAGTACCATATTAATAATTTTTTCATCTGTCACTTCATATTCTTCACCTTAAGAAAAACCATTCATTCAAATCCTCCACTGTTGCTTCATCTCATCATGCATATTTTTTAGCATAGACAGCACATCTTCCTGATCAGCCTTCTCAAGCTCACCACTTTCTGGAGATGCTTCTTACTATCTCTCACGTTCACTTAACAAAATGTCCTAACATTTTGCAATGGTTTTCGAGCTGAAACTTTCCTGTGATTGAGCTAGGTAATAGGCTTTACGTTCAAACTTTGCAAGCTCTCCATCATATCTCTTCCTAGATTAATAGAATCAATTAAAGTTGACTAAAAATTCTTGCAATAATTTCTTTTTAAAGTCTTTAAAACTCCTTGATCCATAGCCTGATAGACTGCCATGACACATGGAGGTAAAAACATCGCCTTTATTTCTTTGTCCTGATATTTTTTTCCCTGAAGTGTCAATAATAATAAAAGCTTTATAATAATATAGAATTCTTTGACATTTCAGCAATGAACATTTCCTTCCCTAGAGTTACAGTAACTATAACAATAATAATTCCAGTATAATATTTTGGCATTTCAGGACTAAACGTTTTCACATTCTATTCCCCCCTTTTTGTCTTTTATTTGTCACTCACACAATCTTGTAGGATTTGTAGTATCTGCTGTGACTTCTATTTTGTTTTGCAATTAAGTTTGATGTATGAATCTGGCAACCAGTTTCAGATGTTATGATCGGGGAATTCCCATTCTTCTAAGCAAGCAGCAGTTAAGTTAGTTGCGTTACTGAAATACTAAATGTTTTTTCATCATTAAGATGTACGGATAACTTTATCTTTATACTAAACTCTACGTGTAAATAATCACATTTATCTGTATGTATTCGTAAATGAAATAAATTAGATATAAAATGAAGTCTGATTTCGAATCAAAACAAAACTAACATCCGAAGACACGACAGAGTTTGTATTCTGCATTTGAAGAATTCAGAATTTGATATTATGAAAGTGTACAGGTACTAATGATTTAAATTACTGCTTATAAGTATACAATATGCTGTCGATGATAAAGTGATTTAAGTTTAAGAAAGTATAAACATTTTAATTTTTTCAGTATAAATAGAAATTAAGAATTTGTTATGAATCATTTTAAGTGTAAATACAAATATGGATGCTCTGAAAATAAAACAAAAGTTGTTAAGAGCTTTATTTACATCTACGGTGAATAAGTTGAAGCAATATATTTGCCGAGGAAAGTAGACGTCAAAGGTGGCGATAAGCTGAACGTTTTGAATGCTGAGTTACAAGGTAAATATTTATGTTTAGATGAGATTCAAAATAACATTTCGTCATTACTTTTAGAAAATACTGAGGCTGTTGCTGAATACAAAGCCGATTTTGAGGCGGCAGAGGATTATAGAGATAATTATCTTGAGCTTAAATCAAAGATAGAAAAGCTATTAAGTAAAGATTCTGGGTCTTTTTTGGAAAGTCCTGCAGAGCGTGATGTGGTAAAATTAAAATTACCTAAATTTGAATTAAAAATGTTTTCGGGTGATCCCCCAAAGACTTTTTTAACATTTTGGAGTATTTTTTCAAAAATACGTAACTCAGAGAAACTGACTGCTATAGACAAATTCCAGTATTTACACCAGTCTATCGTGCCTGATTTGAGAGCTGCTAGATTAATATCCAGTTTCCCAATAACAGCTGAAAAATTATCCAAAGGCCATCCAACAGCTGAAATTAAGATTGGGCCGGGAGATCTCCTTTCACTGGTTCTGAAAATTGCTACGGCTGGGAAGAATGTCCCTGATTTAGCCACCCTCTATGATATGCTAGAGACCAAATTAAGAGCGTTGGAAAGTTTAGGGTGCGCAAAAGAAAAATTTGCTAACTTTTTAGAGCCATTGGTGGAGTCATGTTTGCCAGAAAATGTTCTGCAAGTGTGGGAAAGGAGTAGAATTTCAGAAAATATTGATAAAGCAGAAGCTACAAGTCAGAGATCCCTGGAAAACCTGATGTGCTTTCGCCATGAAGTCAAATCAGAAGAGATGATAAATTTGGCTCGATCAGGTTTCAGAACTCAAGTTACGGTTAAAAGGGAAGTTGATACTACAAGAAATGATATCCCTTCTGCTTCAGCTCTTATTTCATCCATGCAGGAAAAGGCTAAATGTATTTTTTGTTATCATCCACACGTTAGTAGAGACTGTAAGAAAGCTCCCAAGATGACTCTAGATAAGAGGAAATCGCTAGTTATATACAAAAGATGCTGACTTGTTTGCCTTAAGCCTGGTCATATGGCAAAAAGGTGTCACAGTGGTGTGTGAAATGTTTAATTTGTGTATGGAGGCATTACGTGTTACTTTGCCCAGATTTACGTAAAGATATTAATTCCTCATCAAAGGACAAAGTAGCATATTGAAAACAAAATTCTA